ATCCAGTTTCACCAGAAAGTTTAAAAGGAAGAGTTTTTTTCACATTGGGGGTATAAAGTCTTTAAAGTAAGTAAAGTATTTAAAATCCATTGGTTTATTATTGTTGTAGTTCTGTCTATGACCAGCAGGTGTCTCCCTAATACCTCCAGAAATTCATTCATCACAGAATCTCAATCTTCACTCAATTAAAACTCAACTAAAACTTTTGAATCTGAGAAAAGAAATCAGGTTCAGACATTTTAATACTTTTGTTTGTTTTTGCAATGCTCAATTAAAACAATGGGGAACCACAACAATTCTGAAACGACTCCATCTGAAATCTTCAAAGCAAATCAGTTATTTCTTGGTGTTCATTGATCGTGTACCTGTTCTGTCTGCTGTGTCTTTGCTGACAGTCTCGAGAGCTGGAGGTCGCTGTCTTCTGGAGGGACCGGAGGGCGATGTGTGCGGTGAAGTGCCTGCGGCTGGAGGAGATGATGGACAACCAGAACCACAGCCAGGAGATCAGTCTGGAGCCACAGGGCCTCCTGTACGCTGAGGTACACACCAAGACCTGATAGCAAAGGGCCTGTAACGACCAGTCAGACACCTGTACGCTGAGGTACACACCAAGACCTGGTAGCAAAGGGCCTGTAACGACCAGTCAGACACCTGTACGCTGAGGTACACACCAAGACCTGGTAGCAAAGGGCCTGTAACGTACAGTCAGTACAGTGATTGATATATCAGCATATATTCCATGTATACAAAACTTAAGAAAAATATCCATAACCATAAATAAAGAATATAATATTGCAATCAACGTTTCACATTATTACCCAACAAATACATCTTTTCATCTTAACCCATCAATGGATAAATTGTTGAATATCAATATTTCAAGACAGGTAAATACTTTCTCTAAATTCTGTTGCGTTTGCTGTTTAAGAAAATACAAACATCTGATGCATTTCACATAGAATAAGTTAATCTGTGCATAAAAACAGGTGATGTCCAAATTAAGAAATCCTTCTGTTGTTGGTTTTACAGCTTCAATTCATCAACACTGATGTTGAGCGGCAGCCGAAGCTGAGACGTCAGCGTTGTATCTTCACTAAAGAGAGAGGTAACATTACAGACTAACATATTTCATTCCTGTTTCTCTTCCTGCAGTGTAACTTAATATTTCCTCTCTTCCTCAGGGAAGAACTTCCTCAGAGCGGCCCAGATGAACATGAATTTTGCCACGTGGGGCCACCTGATGATGAGCGTCCTCCCTCGCTACAGCTCCTTCACCACGTTCAGCTCGTCCCTCTCCACGACCCCCGACCTGGTGGCCGACAACACCCAACGTCCCACCGAGAGGGAGCCTGAACGCACCACTCCACTGCCAAGGTTCAGATCCTTTCGCTTCAGTAAAATGTAGTTTAAGTATTTAGAATGTGACTGTTCTACTATTATATTTTCCGATATTAGATTATTGTTACGCAGGATTTTACTGTTGTTTGAGTCTGTTAGTGCAAACCTCTGCTAAACCTTTACTTTCATTGTGGCATCCTTTTGCAACACTATGTTTATTTTAGCTTTTACTTCATGACGTATCATTTCTGTGTCTTTGTGCCATTTTCATTTGCTTTGTTTTTGTCTTTGTTTATCTGCAGCGAAGCTCCAGAAACCCGACTCAGCATCACTGAGGATCAGTCGTCTCCCGACAGCCTCGAGGAAGACGACGCTCCCGTCATCATCACCACCGCAGCACACAAAACATCATCTGTGTCTGCAGCGCCAGAGATACTGGTACTGGTGTTTTATTTTATGTTTTTACACTTTTATCCAAAGTGACTTATAAATGAGTGAAGCATAATATAATATAATAATACAAGTAAAAAGCCACACTACAGCACAGTTAAATGCTAAGCTATCCGGTAGCATGGCTAACAACGAAAATGATTCCCGTGATTTCCAAGAAGAAGTACTCATTATACAGAATGACACTCTCAGAATAATATATATTATATAATTAATCGTAATTATTGATGCATTTAGGTGTTCATCATGTTAATGTTGCAGTTGGTAAATGTGGAGCTGCTTACCTGATACACTGCTGCGTATATCAATCTATAATAATATATTCAAATTAATTTTTTGTATCAAGCTGTCAGATAAATGAAGTGGAGTAAAAATAACAACACTTCCCCCTGAGATGGAGTGGAGTAGAAGTATAAAGTAGCATAAAGTAGAAATATTCAAGCAATAACTGCAGTGGATCAGATAGAAAAGAAGATATTTGGATGTGATTTGTGGCTGCGGACGAATAGTAAAATGTTTCAAACTGTGTCTCCATTTACAGTCATCCATAAACACCACAGAAGGAAGTGAAGATCAGCCTGTATCTGCTCTAAAGTACACAACTACACATGTACATGTACACACAAATATTCATCTTATATACTGTAAAAGTAGAAAATAACGTGTCGCCTATATTTTCTTTATTTCTGTCCCCCCGAGGATGCAGAAGGAAGATTTCAAGTACATTTCGGTTCTGGGCCGAGGACACTTTGGAAAGGTAAAAGTTTAAACGTTTTTCACTTCAGCTCGTTCTCGTGTTTGTTGTCCTCAGTCGTTTGGTTGTGAACGTTTCTGTTCAGGTCCTGCTGGCAGAGTTTAAGAAGACAGAAAAACTTTACGCCATCAAAGCCTTGAAGAAGAGAGACATTGTGACTCGCGATGAAGTGGACAGGTGAATGTGTGTGAAGGGAAAGCTTCGAAGAGTCCAAATTACAAAAATGTATAAACAGGTAGACCAGGGTTCACCCAGATGACAAAGTATTTTGTCTTCGGTAACAAGTAGTTCCAGTAAAAACTGGACAGATTGAGGTCTGTGGTTTATCCTGATGCACATCTTACCAAAAACGACTCATTTGTCGTGTGTTTTCCCAGAAAAGTCCAGCAACACATGTCAATTTCCTCTTGTTACATTACAAGCATACAGTCCTTTCAAAATAAACGCGTTTGACTTAATTAAACTCTATTGAACAGAATGAAGACCCTTTATTGGATTCTTCATTTAAACATTAGCAAAGCCATTACAGACTAATTAAACGCCTGCTGTAATTTAAATGAGTTTTAAGCTAAAAGGAGACAGAGGTAAAACAGTTATTGTTTTTCTCAGGCTTTTGGTCAGGGGCCCATTTTGTGTAAACTTGTTTGTTTCTTTTATTTGACAGAATTTGTACCAATGCACCTGTAGACTCAAGGCCATACTGAAGTACTGAGCTCAAACATTCAAGACATTCAGTCAACGTCTAGAAGATAGATGAAGTTCACAGTGACTCTTGTTGAAAGTGAGGTTTTGTTCCGCAGCCTGATGAGCGAGAAGAGGATCTTCGAGATGATCAACGCATCCAGACACCCGTTCCTGGTGAGTCTCCACGGCTGCTTCCAGACCAGCGACCACGTCTGCTTCGTCATGGAGTATTTACCAGGCGGCGACCTCATGATCCACATCCACAACAACGTCTTCAGCGAGGCCCAGACCCGGTTCGTTTTTATTTATCCTCTAGATTAAGCTGCCTAGCAGCATATAAAGTAATTAAAATGAGCTCAGTGATGAATACATTAATGAGTACTATGAGTACTTTTAGTATTGGTACTTTAAGTATACTTTGATTCAGCTAATACAGTTGTACTTTTACATAGTATTTTGTTTTTACTAAACATTTAAATTTCTTTATAAAAGGGTACATCAAAGAAAAAACAGATATTCATATTATTTTAATACTTCGTACTGTGAACCTTTAACATTCAAATATACTGTACATATCTTTTAAATTGTGGTAATATAATTTAGAATTATAATCTAGTAAAACCTGTTGTTGTTTACAGGTTTTATTCAGCATGTGTCCTGCTGGGTTTAGAGTTCCTGCATCTGAATAAAATCATCTATCGGTGAGTGGTACCGTGCCGTAGAACGCTACTGACGTTAACTTCAGGTGTAACTACATGTACTGTGTGTTTAAACAGAGATCTGAAGCTGGACAACCTGTTAATGGATGCGGATGGATTCATAAAAATCACAGACTTTGGCCTTTGTAAAGAAGGTGAGTTGATTTAGCACATTGTTTGTATCCAGCACATCACCTGACTCTTCTACGTTGCTGCTACAACTTATTTATTCACTACATTTGATCAGATTTACAGAAAAACTGTGTTTTTGTTTGTAGAAAAATGGGATAATAACAGTGTTTTGCTCTCTGTGACAAGTAGCATTGCATTTTTTTGACACTATCACCAATTTAAATGGTCAAATCCTTCACAGAAAGGCTTTAATTACTCTTTAAACCTCACTCAAACCTCTTCTTAGGTCGATACGTGATGATTTTTCTGTCTCTTTTTTCTCAGAGATGGGTCACGGGGATCGGACCGCAACCTTCTGTGGGACTCCTGAGTTTCTGGCTCCTGAGGTCTTGACGGACGACAACTACACCCGAGCGGTGGACTGGTGGGGGATGGGCGTCCTCATCTTCGAGATGCTCGTAGGAGAGGTTGTTAACACGAATTTTGGTTTTCCTTTCAGCAGTTTTTGCATATTTTCTGTCCACACAAATGTTAACGTCTAGTTGCAATAGTAGAGACCCAGTTATCAAAATTCCAGAATATACCAAAGTTAAAGGGGTTAGTTGTGATGCTTAGAAGTGTGGTTGTAAAGAAAATATTCCAAATATAGCACTTAAACTGATATTGATTATTTTAGGAGTCTAGAATACGTCCACAGCAGAACATCACTTTGCTGGTTCTGCTGTCTGTTTCTCTAAACTCCAACTGTAGTGAAACACTGACTATGGAGAAGAAGCTGATACAACCAGGCTTCTAAACATCACTACTGTCCCTTTAAACCTGTAACTCAGCACCTCTCTGCCCTGCTATAGTCTCCGTTCCCCGGTGAGGATGAGGAGGAGGTGTTCGACAGCATCGTCAACGATGACGTGCAGTATCCAGGGTCTCTTCCTCCTGATGTCGTCGGCATCCTCCAGAAGGTAAAAGCCTCTTTTCTGTTGCTCTGATTTTATTACAATTACTTGAGATATTTATAATAATATATTATTTTATTTGTCATTAAATCAGGATAACTTTGAAAACCTAAGGATCTTGAATTGGAATATAAAATATAAATGTTTATATATAATAGTTTTTTGTTGTAATTTTTCGCATAAATATAGAATTTTCTTTCAAAAGAAAAAAAAAGAATATATATATATATATATATATACAGTATTTATAGGCAGAAAATTACAACAAACAACAATTATATAAATAAATAAATACTGTATATCAAAAGAAAACAAAAAAGCGAAACATTTTATTATGAAGATCCTTCGGTTTAATATCAAAGGTTTATGGCTGTAAAGGTTCGAGACAGATTCTGGGTAAAAAGACTGTAACCTCATTATCTCTTTGTAAAACTTGATGTGATTGTGATAACTGGTATTACTTATTCATTTTAAGTATAACAGTATTTATAATCCTGTTGCTGCAGCTGTTGAAGAAGAATCCTCTGAAAAGACTCGGAGCCGGAGAGAGGGACGCGATCGAGGTCAAAGGAGAGAAATTCTTTGAGGTAAATCACTTTATTTAGACTTTACTTTTACTCTCCAAATAAATAAATGGTCAACCTCCAAACCTGATAAGATCCACGTCCACCACTTCTAAATCAGCCTATTGAGGTATTGATGTGTATTGATTAGGCTCATATACTGAACCTGGTCAGAGCTGCGAGAAACACTTTCCACTAAGTTACTGATTCTTGGATCCTTTGTGACTGAAAACTGTTACTTTAATGATGAATTTATGGGCATAACGTATGGATATATTATGGTACTAATACCACACTGTGAAAATACTTCACTACAAGTAAAAGTCCTGCGTTTCAACCCGTACTGAAGTGAAAGTATGTTATCAATTAAATGTACTGAGAGTACAAAGCATTGATAACATGTTCCCTGTCAGTTCTTTCCTACTATATCTGATTAATTGATTAATATTACTGCTGCATTATTGCATTGTAACTCCTCCTGTTGGCTGGTTTAATCTACATCAATGCATCATATTCTATAAGATCATATGTTTGTCTCTAAAAAGAACAAACAGTCTGTTTCCAACTTTGTGACAGATGACACCTTCATCTTTCAGACCATCGACTGGGAAGCCCTTCTGGCCAGGAAAGTGAAGCCGCCCTTCCTGCCGTCAATCAAAGAGTCGATGGACGTCGGCAACTTTGACAGCGAGTTCACTCAACTACAGCCGATCATGTCGCCTCCCTCCAAACCCTTCGTCCTCTCCGCCGAGCAGCAGGAAGCCTTCGCAGACTTCGACTTCTGCGCCTTGTACGGATGAAGGACGAGCTGAAGAAGGACCAGGGTGGGAAAATGTAGTTTGTAGCCGAGAAGTTTGTCTACTTCAGAGGACCAAATAGCATCTTTTACGTATATCGGAAAGTAAAATAATTCAAGTGCTAGCTCCTTTAATTAGTTATTTATTTGAATTAAAAGATGAAATGTTGAGCCGTTTAGCAAGAACATTGACAAGACTCTTTAAAACTTGAGTCTTTAGCATATTGCCGTACTACAATTACTAAGCATTTGCTCATTAGAACCACTAATGTGACATGAGTAAACTTCTTTACAACCTCACTTTATGCTAACTTGTATTGGCCGTCATAACTTTTGAGTTTATAGACTAAATTGATTCATTAAAAAAAGGATAGATTAAAGGAACATTACAACTTTTTAGGAAATAGGCTTATTAACTTTATTCCCGAGAGTTAGATGAGAAGATTGATACCGGTAAACACGAGGTTCCTGGTTAGCTTAGCTTAGCACAACCACTGGACCAATTAGGGGGCCAATTAGCTAGTCTAGCTAAGCCCCCGCTAGCTGTTTCCCCCCGTCTCCAGTCTTTGTGCTAAGCTAAGCTAATCGACTGCTGGCAGTAGCTTCAAATTTATTGTACAGACAAGAGAGTGGTATCGATCTTATCATCTAAAAAAGATAAATCACAAAGTGTCAACTTACTCCATTAGAACCAAAATGATTTGTTAGTTGGAGTCCTAGTTTTTTTGAAATCAGATTACAGGCGAGAAAGGGAGTTTTGAAAGCCAGAAATGTGACCTCCTGGCCCAATAATCATTATCATAATAATCAAGCATTAATTACTTTAATGTTGTAGCTGTGAGCTCATTTACGTCAGGGTAGATTAAACTATAATAATGCATCATAATTTATTAGTTGATTCATATTCTGTATTATTAATGTGAATATGCAAAGTAACTAAAGCTGTCAGACGAATGCAGTAAGTGAAGTAGCATGAAATGGAAACACTCTAAAACGTATACTAAAATACAATATTTTAGTAAGAGAACTTATTTCTTTCCACAACTAAAGGAGGTTTCCCACCCTGGTCTTCAAAGCACCACCAACTAAACAAACACTTTGAGTATTTCTGCAGCTCAGCCATTCTCAAACAGGACTCTACATACGATCCAATGGCTGATTCCGCTGACTGCTCTCACCGCCAGACGATCGGCAGCTGATTGACTAAACCAGGCAGCATCTATTTTTTTTGTTTTTGTTTTCAACAGAGCAAAAGAAAGTGATTTTAACCATTTATATTCTCTGTAGAGAGTCAAGCTTTGTTGTCGCTGTTCCAGCAGTAATACAACTCACCTGTTCCTGCTATTAAGAGTTTATTTAAGAGATCTGGTCAGGTGAAATGTTGTACAAACAGATACAGGATGCTTGAAGAGTTTATGTCATTATCACCACATATTTATTACTCATTAATGTTTAATTTCAATACTCGGTACTGAATAACTAAATCTTGAATTACATTTCGTAAAGCTCTAACTAGGTATTTATTGTTAAGACTGTCAAGAGATTTATTCATTTATTCATTTTTGAGGTTGAAGTTTAAGAAACATCCTGTCTTTCAGTCAGTATTGATGAGCCTCTACATGCATACAGTGTTCCCGCGTTTGATGTCATAATTTCCGTCACTTTTCCTCTTGCTTCACTACGTAACTTTTGCAACTTTTGCACCTGATACACCCAGTAGTTTAGGCAGCTACTGCCTGGACTCTGTAGGAGTCTGTGAGATGCCTTATGTTCCCTTATAAATGTATTAAATTATGATTGTCATGCCTCTCTGAAAGTTAACGCATACTTTAATGCTGACTTGTATTCACTTGCAGTGCAGTGCACCAGCAGTTTTGGTTGCCTCAGTTGACGGTGCATCAGTTATGACTTTTACGTATTTATCTGGTATGGTAAGAGGAAATGTCTGATGGATTGTGACAACTTCAAATCACATTGGAAAACTACAACGGCGCAAAGACGAACAACGACACAGACTGAAAGACACTTGATGGAAAATTTAATTTCAAAAAAACAAAAGATTTAAATCAATTGTCGAAAAACACCTAAAAGTCCCATAACATTTGAATTTATTACAGGGCTATGAACTGTATTTATTAATATTGATAGAGTGCAGATAAGCAGATTCATCAGTATTGGCAAGTGTGTCAGCCAATAAGCAAAATGTCAAACACAGTAGGCCTAGGCCTAAATATCTTGGTCACAATTCTTTAAACAACAAATTCATATGGTGTTACATTTTTTTGATTTAAAGTAAATATTGATAAAGATCCGGGATTGTTCGGGCTATAATAGTTACTACTCCAATACTTTTACAATTTCAACTTAGCTAACAAACTAGCTAACAAACTGTTACTGTAACTAGGCAGCTAGCTGAACTAGCTAGGCAGCTAAGTCACTGCTAATGTTCATATGCTAATGCTAACTGCAACCATTGAAACAATAACTATTAGAATTAGTCATGTTAGATAAAAGTTAGGTTACTTAACTAATGCTAACTGCTACTACTGAATCCATAGCTGTTAGCGTTAGTCATGTCAAATAAAATTGACTTGACTAACACTACATAAACCATAGCTATTAGCAGTAGTCATGTTAGATAAAAGTGACTTAACTAATGCTAACTGCTACTACTGAAACCATAGCTGTTAGTGTTATTCACGTCAAATAAAATGTATTAGTCAAGACAAATTAAATGTACTTGCCTAATGCTAACTGATACAAATTTGATGGTTATCAAGTTTATCATTTAAACTATTAAAATTTAGTTTTTTTCAAGACTACATTGTAGAACCATCTTGGAAAGCATCACATAAAAACAGCTAAATAACAGTAAGCTAGTTAAAATATTTGGATCAGCTAAACTCAAACTCAATCTCATGTATAAGCAGCAAAGTTATCAGTTCTCTGTTACGAACAGATTATCTATAAATGTACTGAATTTACTTTTAAAGTTAAAACATTGCCATTTGTAATAAACCTATAAATCAAATGATTGCCTCTAATAACCAGCCGTAGCCTCTTCAAGCATCCTGAGTGTTGGAGACATCCAGCTTGCTTTGTGGCCTTTGCTTATTATATATTTATTTACGATATATTTATCCTTAGGTACAGTTTGTGCTGCCGTTTCTATGCATCACTGTGACAGGCTTCGCCCACTGCCTTGACCAAACGAAATGAAACAAGAAGCTAACCTAATTTCTGGTGACAAGCCTTTTTTAAAGCATAGGAAATGTTTAATGTACTCGTCACGTCCTTCCCTTGTAAAGCAAAGACGCATTCACATATCAGTCTCCACCTGGCCAACTGTTTTTCCGTTACAACAGTAGAAGTGCATGGCACCGTGGTGAACTTGTGCACTAGAAATCCTGTAAATGCTGGCGATATATATATAAAAAAAGAGAAGCCATAGAACCTAACATAGCCATAATAGTAAGAAAAATATCTGTATTTTCTATTTAGCAAAAAATATTCTGTGATACTAAAGCTCTTATGATGTCAGTGCAATAAAAGAAGAGGAAGAAGAGGAGCGGCAGGGACAAAAGATGTTCAAGTGCACCCAAGAAATCCTCAATATCTCCTTTGAGCTCGGTTATAATGCAATAAGGCGAGAGCTTGGGGAACTATTGGGCACTATAATTAGGGGACTTTAAAGAGCAACTTAACACCAAATCCACTTTTAAGAGTTAGTCAATTATATGTACAGTCATTTTTATTGTACCAGTAATTAATCTAGTGCCTGTATTTATTGTTTACTGCAGTTCTTTGTCTTTTTTTTCAAGAGAAATATTGAGTAAATCTTTCATTTAGATCGAAAGACATCTGTGACATTTCCTTGTACTCCACGTACAAGGAAATGTCACGTCAACTCGGGTCAGTTTGGAAAGTTCTAACCGACTGCCAAGGACGCTGAAACGCAGGTTAGATTACATACCGTCTCAGGCAGTAATCCAGGAGACCTGGAGCTCTAGTTGTGCATGTATTTCTTGTTTGGAGTTGGAATTTGGAAAGAGATAAGAGATTGTGCCACAGAATGTAGGTTAGGTTGCAGTTACAGATACGTACTTCAAACACAAGCTTTTGGCCTCCAGTGTAAACAACTACACGAATTAAGACTAAGACAAAAAAAACTGTATGGAAGTGTTTACAGACGTCAAAAGTGTGAGCACAAGACAAATTTGAGCGCCAACGAGAATGAGCAACTTTGTTAATAACAAGCCAAGAGAAGCCATACTGTTTGCTTAAATGGTCAAACAACTCATCTTTCGATTCATCGATCGCGGTTTTGTCGTCACTCATGCATAAATTACAAATCTGAGCCTGAGCTCTCCCTCATTTTGTCATTTATTAACTTCCATGTAGAGGGAGAAATTATTTGTCAAGAGCACAGACTGTTTATAAGAAATGGACGTAGTCATCGTGACGTCACCCATTGGTTTGTGGACTGATGTTATGAAACCTCGAGTTTGACGATTTTGCAGGCGCCATCTTGGATTACGCATAAAGCATACTAAAGCATCCCCTGCTTTATGGTCTGTTTGACTCTAAATGGACCATAATGTACTAAATGAACATCATGCTGTATTGAAGAAGACTTGAAACTAGAGATTGAGACCATAAACTCATGTTTACAATGTTTACTGAGGTAATAAATCAAGAGAGAAGTAGAGTCATTTTCTCATAGACTTCTATACAACCAGAGGAGTCGCCCCCTGGTGGACACTAGAGAGAATGCAGCTTTAACACATGAAGCATTGGCTTCACTGGGCAGAACCGGAGGATGTCGCCTAGTCAAGAGCTCTGATTCGGCTTTAAGTTGTTACAGGGTGTTAAGTTGCTCTCTAAACAAATAGGAAGATGTCCTGAAACTGAAAGGTTAAAAAATAACAGTATGTTCTGCTGAAGTGTCCCTGAGCAAGACACTGAACCCCTCCACCTGCTTTGGTGAAGACTTTATAAGTAAGATATAAGCAGCTGGCGTTGATTTAGCTGCTGTAGCACTTTAAGTTTATGCTGCTGAATATTACCCGTTACTTATGTGTCAGTACTGTATTTATATATATATATATGTGTCTGTATGTATGTGAAGCATCCTGACGAGGAATGTCGGTCTGTACAGAAGATCTCATGCACATCATCAGTGTTTTAATGTACTCTCGTTGTCAATAAATACAAACAGAACAAATACAGAAGACCAAAACAAATTGTAAAATAATTGTTGTGAAGATTATCTCAAAATGTAGTTATTGAAAAAAGAATGTTAACAGTAAAAAAATAATAAATAAACCAAAGGCACAAGACATAAAGGCCATTAGTGTTGTATTGTGAAGGTCACCGCTCTCATGAGGCAACAGAAACAGAGAGTGGTGACCACACCCGAGAGTAAAAGCCGGAGTAGTTTTTGCTTCTTTCCTTCATCAAAAATGCCTGAAAATAAGTTCTTCTTTTAACAAAATGTGTGATTGTGGACTTAAATATCACCTCATAACTGTTCAGTCTTGTGTACAAAATCCAGGACATACTTTAGTCAGAAAAGGGTCTCTAGGTATTACAAATGAAGAAGCAAAAAAAACAACCCAAACCGCTCTTGGTCCAGAGAGTTTGAAGGTACAGATCAGATTGTTTGAAGTGTGGTTGTATGAGGTACTTATCCGTGGTCAGTGTATTACGATCGGATTCCCCAAAATCAAACAAACTAACAGATGGAGGCAGCGGTAGAGCAGCTACACCGTATTCTGAGAGGTCAAATTAATGTTTTTCTCAATTCAGTCTCATGGCTTTTGAAGAGATCAAAGAGAACAGCTTCAGTTCCTCCGTCATAAAGGTCTGCCTGACAACAAGTTCTCAGATCATTTACTGAAATAAGAGTCATGTAGAAATACTCTGTTTCAGGTACAAGTACAAGTCTTACTTCTAGGTATATTCAGAGCATTAATATAGCATCAAACAACTACATGATGACCCTCACTTTTTCGACTTAAAAAAAGACTCCTGATTTGGGGACAGCTCTAAGCCAAAGTCATTAGGATTCATCCTCTGAGGAACATGAACGTCTGATAGATGTTTCCGTCTGGATCAAAGTGGTGGAATGGCTAAAAAAAACAGGCCGACAGTGTAAAAATGTGTTTGTACTAAATAGCCAGCAAAGCAAGGTATCGTGTTTTGTTATCTGTATTAAAAATCGGGTTCAAAAGTGTTTCAAAATTTGCTGTAATTAGTTTAAAGTCTGTGTGTCAACTTTTGCATGTAGATTTTGGTCCACTTCAGTTGTAAACTGTTACTCAAAAGGAAACATAAAACATTTAAATCTCTGCTATTGAGGTTAAGAAGTGATTTGCGTTCCCTGAAAGTGTTCGTCCCGTTGGAGGTTCAGACAGAGTTGGGCGTGTTTCTGTCGTACGTCTGCTCCCACACCACCGTCCTGCAGGCGCAGAAGAAATCCCACAGGTTGCAGACGAGCCCGCGGTCAAACGGGTTCTGCTCGTCGCTGCAGTTCTTCAGGTAGGAGATCCGGTGGCGCGACATGAACTCCCAGGTGGTGCAGTTGACGGAGACCAGGTAGAGGTGGCAGCCCAGCAGCAGCACCACCACCAGGGAGAAGACGCCGACGACGGCCAGCGCCGCCAGCAGGAACCCGTTCGCTCTGAACCACGGCTCCCATGACACGCTGGGGGAGATGCCAGACCTGGAAAATAGTGTTCGCACAAATATTGTTATTTTAATATTAAATAATAATCTGAACAATGCTCAATGCAAACTGTCCCAGATTATATACTGAGACCTTTTCTTCTGTGGATTTAACACCCATCTATTCATTCATTCATTATCATTTAGATTAGTCTGCCAATCCTAGCAATTACTATTCATTCTGAGCACTTACTATATTAATACAAGTATTCTAAATATTGCAAAACATGTTGTGTTCAACATGAGCGAGCAAAGCCGAGAGAGACAGTTCTTCTGGCCAAGATCATATTAATATCTGAATATGCATGAAACAAACAAAAAAAGCAAGAGAACAAAAAAGCAAACTTCTTGAAGACAAAGTGGAGATTAGCAGGTTACCCGTAGTTAGCTGGTTAGCATAGCTAAGCTTCAAATTAGCTGCACTCGACCCACTTATAATAACGGTAAAGTCCTGCTGCTGGCTATTTCCAAATTGTGCTGCACTTTGGTCAACGTGTGTTGCTTTTTAAACCAACCATGAGGATTTATCGGTTGCTGTTTGTAAACACAACATTCTGCCCCCCCCCCCCCCAGCGGATGGAACGTCGATCTGTCCGTTCTCTCCTTATATTTGCATTTTTTATGACGCCATGTTCGCAGCTTTCCTCTTGGATGCCTGCTTACGATCCGTCACCTGGTCGCTACGTATTTTTTGAGGTTGACACCCAGAAACATCCAGAACACAATACAGGCAGAGAGAGGAGGGACTGTTGTCATATGAGTCTGTACATTGATTTTAAAGGAAAGTCATACTCACTGTGCCTTTAACTACTATATATTTGACCTGGAGTTTCTTTTAGTTTACTTGGATACCCATCTGCTTCTGTCTGGCTGTAATCACTGAGGTTTAATCCAACCAGTGAGCTGATTATCAAATACACAAACTGCTGGATCGGCATCTCAAATGAGGATCGCTTGAACTTTGAAATCGTACTTGAGCAACTCATCAAAGCGTCTGTTTACTAGAAGTAAACAGACATCAATCAATTAAACTAACATCTTTGCTAATTCGGCCTGATGTTGCAGAGATAAACCTCCAGAACAGAGTGCTCTGCCACCATGTGATCATTTCTCACTGAGTCACAGTTAGGCCTGCCGTCCACCAGATAAGGACATTTATCTTAAAGACGTACAGAGCGATGTGGAGCGCCCACAGCAGAGCGAGCAGCTGCACCAGCAGGTAGACGATGAACCAGCGGTGGTTCCTCTCTCCCACGCAGTTCTCGATCCAGGGGCAGTGGTGGTCGAAGCGACGGACGCAGCGCTTACACGTCTGACAGTGCTTCGCTCTCATTGGCTGCTGCTCGAGAAAAAAGAGGGAGAAAGAGAGAAAGGGAGAAAGAGTTAAACCCCTCTTTAGAGTGGAGCAGCGGATATAAGCCATGTGTCAAAATACTGACTGAACTCAATGTTCCACCATATTGAACATGTTGTCGGACAGAAATGTTGCCAAAAGCTGCATTATTACTACAAAAACAAATGAATAAAACCCCAATATAACTACAAACACATTAAGAGAATATAGCACGTGTGTGTAAAACGTGTTTTAAACACAGCAACGAGAAAAAGATCTGTGTTCAAGCTCGACAAGATGGAACTAAAACAGAAAGCGTGTACGAACACATGACTATGCAGACGTGTCAACGACAAACTGGATTTCAGATTTCAGTTCACAGAGTTTGAGTTGGCAGCAGCTGGTTTACCTGCAGCAGGCAGTATCCACAGCGCCGCAGCCGAGGGGTTGAAGACTGAGGAATCATCGACTCCATTTCCTCATTTGAACCCTGAACGCAACACAGATGGATGTGGGTCACACGAGAACACACGCATACCAACACTGGGACCTTTACATAGAGGACTATACACTCATTGTGCTACACGTTTGAGTGTGTTTACTAAAAATCAAGTTTCTATAGTACAGCGTATGTTTCTAGATTAGCTCCTCCCCACTAAGAAGCTCAGTACGCTAAGAAAATCCACTTCCACAGACTTTAAAGCGTGTGATAGGGAGACAAGATGTTCCATCTTTGTCAAAGTTGCATTATTATCGCATCGTCATGTCGCTGAAAGCACAAAGAGTTGTTTTTTTTGTCGGTGGAAAGCTCCAGAATTTGAGGCCTGGGAATCATCTGCTGAACAGTAACAACTGCATTGCAATCAACAGAAATACACATTTATTTTTCACGGCGTGATGTGTCTGCTTGGTTTTATGTGACGTGGGTTTTGTTTCAGTTCATCTCACCTTCACGGTGTCAGTGAGAACGAAGCCAGGGTCCATTAAGGAAACAGCAAAGTACAAGAGCACCGACAGCATGACCAGCAGGAAGAACACAACCGGCAGCAGCAGCTCTCCTCGCTCCTCACACTTACGCAAATCTGCACACACACGCACACACACGCACTCACACACACGCACGCACACACGCACGCACCCACACACGCACATGCACACACACACACACGACAAAACAGTTAGTAATGTCTTCTGCGGATTTAAAAAATAACCCAGATGGCTTCTAATAAAAGACATTATTACATTATGGAAAATGTAAAATCAAGTGTTTTACTAGAGTTCGTTTCATCTTTCTACTTTACTACATTTCAGACAGAAATATTGTACTTTATACTGCACTGCATTTATCTGACAGCTTTAGTGCTGCACACAACACACACATAGATCTTCTAATATATGACGCTTTTGGTATAAATCAAGCTACCCGACAGCTGAAACAAGTACTTAGCCAGTAGTTAAAGTCACGTGTATGAATGTAGCTTCACAAATGTAAATATTTGCTATTGATAATTATAACTATTTACAGTAAATCTATTTTAAATAATTGAGTACTGTTGCTTTGATCAGGAACATATTATGTTCCTGATCATACTTACATACTTTTACATGTTGTAACATTATAAACATTTTAAAAGCAGGACTTGTACTAGTACAAGAGTATATTTACAGTGTAGTATTAGTACTTTTAAATAAGTAAAGGATCTGAATACTTTCTCCACTATGGGTTAGACAGATACAGTAGATATATAGATAGATAGTTATATAGATAAATATTGAGTATAAAAATGCACAATATATACAATAAAAATAACAGAGTAAAAAATACTAAGTATAAAAAAATGCACAATATATACAATGAAACAGAATAATATTAAATGAACTAACTAAACAGTACATAAATACATTTTGATTGAACTTACCGGTGTTGTGCAGGAACAGTATGAGCGTTATGACCCACGTGAGCAGGGTGTGTGAGGCCCGAACCAAAAACCCGGTCCGGAACATGTTCTGGACCATTTTAAACACCTTCTGTTAGCACCGCTGCTAACTAGCTAGCCTCGTTAGCAACACCACCACATAGCGGTTTTACGACATTAAATGAAATACTATAAAAACACAAATACATCCTAACTATGTTATAAGTCACATATGTAGTTTATAAAGTTATCAAGTTGCTAATAACAGTAATAAATGCGTATTTTATGTATGTTTTCTCTGGTTCTTTATCATCCATCCTGATGTCGGCTTTTCCTTGTTTTGGTACGGAAGCCGGCGAAGGTAAAATAAGAAGGCGAACTGAAGCCTGGGCGGAAGAAAAGTCAAACTAGTAATATTAATGGTTAATCCTTGATGTATAACGACCATTATGGAGGATTAAAGCTGCCATTATGATAAATTAATAAATAAAATATGTTGACGATTAACAAATGTCAGTAACTTAAAATAATTTAAGTTATAAAAAGTACATTTACCTCCGAGTAGTAGTGGAGATGTATAAAGGAGCACAAATAGAAATACTCGAGTACAAGTACTTTAAATGTGTAATCAAGTAAATGTTCTTAGTTACTTTCAACCGCTGATGTCAATGTTATATAACAACACTTTACTACCTAGTGTATAATCTACTCTGTTTAAAGTGTTTGTTTACATATAATCTCCACAATGAAAGAATGTAATAGTCACAATATAATTTAAATGTACTGAAACATAAAGAGACATCTTTACTAAATTGCTTGTTGTGTCAGTAACAAAGCAGTTTAATAAGTAGACATTTTTGAATTGGAAAAGGTATTCGTCTCCAGATAACTCATTTTAAGCAAAGCATTTTAAGACTAGCAGTGTTTATTGTAGTTAATTCAGTTTGCATTTATTAAACTCTTATTCCATGTATCCAGTAGTGTTGTGAATTCACCTGTGGTATAATAAATCCAACTCCAAAATCCTTCTCATCACTGTGTACACACGCGCGCACACACACACACACACACACACACACACACGAGCTTAAAAGACAACAAACCCAAAGTCTTAGCTCCGTCGTCTCTCTACCCACGCAGACTGAGACGCTGTGATAAAGTGTTTTGTACAGAATCACTGTTACATCTGAAAGAAAGACATCGGAGATACAGCATTACAAGAAGTTGCATTTATTTTGCATCAAAATGGTCCATTAAAACAAGACTAAAACACATTCTTTACAAAAGACATGAATCGATCTGACATTCACGTAGAACCCTTCAGCATTAATTAAAGTGCATTTAAAGTCGCCCATCTTTATAAAGTATAAATGTTGTGAAAGGAAAACTGTGTGTAATCTTCTGTGAGTTGAACAAACATTAGCCCTTAAACCTGAGGTGAGCATTAAGACATTTATACCGTAAAAAGAAAAGAAAAATAGGGCAGCAAAAAAAAAAAAAAAAAAAAAAAAAAAAAAAAAACCATCTACACACAACAGATATAATCTGAAACTTGAAATATATTTTCCAGTGTCTCCAACAGAGCCATCGGGACTCAAGCACAAACTCCAAACTAGTTTAACATCTCAGAGAACTTCTTTTAGTGTTTCATAGCCACGTGTTAATAAGGCTGTTACCTGGTGTTCTCCTCCCCCCAACATGAATACAACAAGAACTGCATTTCTTTAAATCAAATCACACATTTGGCTCTTCAGACGGGAAACATTCAGCGTTGAACCTCCTCTCTGTCCGATAGTCAGAATAATAAATACAGGACGGGTGGAAATAAATACTCAGACAATCATCCCGTCATCCATTCGTTCGTTCGTTCGTTCAAGTCGAAGAGAAATCAAACTCACGTGTGCAAAAGTCCTCTCGTATTAGGAACACAATCATCTCTTCTTATAGGCAGAACTGTCTTCAGTATTAATGCTTTATCTGCCGTGTAACGAAAAGTATGAACGAGTTGTTTTTCGTGGAGTTGTGCAACACGATTGCTGCTGATGCATCTTAAAAGAAAAACTCACTTGAATGTTGAACCAACGTGACACAAAAACAAAACGGAACGTTTGCTCAGGCACCAAAACGACGAGAAGAGCAAAAACACTTGGTCCTCGATTTACATACATCTCTCACTTCCCTCATGTTTGTTGTTTCGTCTCGACAACTAAAAAAAACACAACTTAAATAGCAGCAGTCACACTCCCAACAACCTGAGCTCACAGAGTTCATATCCTCCACCTTTCAGTGTCCTTTCTCGTGTTTCGTCAGCTGACATTCACAGAATGAGATCGCTCCACGGACACCCCCCCAGAGGGGGGCCCCCTAACAGTCCCTGGGATTCCCTAGCATGAGCCCTGGGAGAGCGGGGGGTTGGGAATTGAAGACAATGACAGTCGGGTTGAGTTTCAGCGTGATTTGACTCCCAGATGTGTCTTCAGGCGCTCGTACACCACGTAGCTGATGCTGACGGCCGGGATGACTTTGAGGAAGTTGGGGCCCAGGCCCCTGTAGAGCCCCGTCGGGCCCTCGGTCTGCAGGATCTGCCTGAAGAGACCCGACATCGTCACCTGCTGGCTGCCCTCGATCGCAGCTGTAAAGATTAAAAATAATACAAAAAGGTTAAACTTAGTGTGAGAAATATTAACGTGAAAAACACAAACATGAGAGAAGATTAGGAGCTCCCTCGTTTCTCCAAACTCAGAAGATTGACAAATTATTATTTTGATACGTTTGTCAAGCAATCTTTTAAGGTTTTGAACTGTTGGCTGACATCACAAAATGTCAGCGTCACAATGGATTGTAGGGCATTGTGATTGTACGTTTACTGATTTATAAAGCAAACAATCACTCGCTTGAATCTATATATAATTGGCAGATTAATCTCCCCGACTAAGTGTTCATTGCAACGTCTTAGTTAAATATAATCAGGTCAATACTGACAATGAATCATGCGTCTTCTGGTATGAACGTCCCTCCCTTTACCACAGAAACATAAAAACAGGCGTGGCCCTTTAAGAAGCCACGACTTCCTTTCAGAAACCTTTTAACTCTACTTCCTGTCGTATCATCAGGGTGTAATGAACAGCTAAGACATTAAAAGCATTATATCATAGTGCAGTATACAGTATTCAGGCTCACCTTGTGCTTGCATGCGGGTGCGGACCAGAGCCAGAGGGTAACTGGCGAGCTGACCACAGGTGCTGGACACGGTGCCGCAGGCCAGCAGGACCACCACGCCCGGGTCGGTGCCGTTGATGCCGTATTGCTGCAGGTAGTTGTTCTTCAGCGTCTGAGGAGGGACAACAAGAAGATGCGAATACTGAGTATTATTAAAGCCAACGACTGTAAAGTAGAAACCCACTGAGGTCTTATTAGACATCTGTGTCATAGTGCTCACTGCTCACCTCGTACACCGCCAGGTCGATGCCTGCGTAGGGGATGATGCCCAACATGTTGGGGACGTAGCCTTTATAAAACGCTCGAAGTCCTTCTCTCCTGAATATCTGCTTGGCACAGTCTGAGATACCGGAGAACTGACCGGTTGTCCTCAGAGCGAGGCGGGTTTTCAGGACCTGGGGGACAGAAAAACAAACAAAAAAACAAAAAACAAAACTGTTAAGTCCTGAGAACTCCCATTTAAAAACCTTTCCCCGAGTCCCTTTTAATTTAAAAAGCAGAGGTAGTTAAGCTGATAATCACCTCCATGGGGTAGATGGTGCTCTGGGCGATCACTCCAGCCAGCGATCCAGCTACAAATCTCTCCATGACGCCCAGAGTCCCCCTTTCACTGCCGATTAATTGCTTAATCTGGAGAAAAGACAATGCATCAATACACAAAAACTTTTAAAAAGCACCACGAATTATACATTTGAGTTACAGAAACGCGTCGCTGGTCGTACCTGCTCGTAGGCCATGAACTTGAGGGCCGTCTCGGGGGCGATTTTGATGACATTCACTCCGTTTCCTCGCCACAACGACCTCATACCGCCTTCTTTGATCATCTGCATCATCCCCGTCATGATGCACATGTTGTTGGTTCTGGTTCCGTACACCTGGAGGAGGAACGAGTCGTCGATTAGATACGATCATTAAACTTTTGACTTGTTTTACTGGCTGGTGAGATAATGAAGATGGTCGTTGAAATCAGGCTCAAGATTTGATCCTTGAACTCCCAAAAGACTAGACCATCTAGGTGAGTTTAATTAAATAACCTAAGTTTACATTTCCTAATCGATCGGGGCTCAAAGTTGACATTCCACATAGCGGCTGACGCACGTCGGGGACGTTGACACAGATGCTGGATCTGCTCAGTTAGACCTTCGTCCCCCTGATGACGGTGACACATTCGAGGGTGTGACGACCCGATGCGTGCGGTCATTGCTCGACGGAGTGGCCTGGTTTAGACTGTTAATCAGCACCCGGACTCTGCACCCCCCCCTACCACTCAGGTACGCTCTGTTAAACATTAACTTATTTATGGCCTTTAGGTAACTCTGTCTGGAGCAACTGCTTTCAAGTTTCTTCTCCATTGTGCCACCCGCAGATATGAAAGAAGCTTAATTGATCCCTCAAGGACGCAACATTTGATTTGTAGTGTTTAAATCTCTTGATTCGACTTTTAGGATTGGGTCTGTTTCAGGTTGATGTACGTTACGGCTAGACAGCCGACAACTGGGTCAAATCCCCCACAAGCTGATGATGATTCTCTACTGTAAGATAAGAGTTTCCACAAGTTCCCTCACACGCTGTCCAGTTCCCAAACTCCCTCAAGGCCTGGAAACTCAAGCCATACTTTCCCCAGACTTCAGTGCTGTGATTTTGGTCATCTTACCTGCATCATGACTTTGAGACGGTCCAGTGGAGCGGTGCAGGACCTGGAAACGACTCCGGCTCCTCCACCCGCGACCAGGTGCCTCCACCACATCCCGGTCTGCTTCTCCTCTACTGTGAAGTCATCAGGCACCATCAGGTTGTCACCCACATCGAATATCTGACAAGAAGAGCGAGAAACATGAATTATTGGTCACGAGCACATCATGAGAAACGCACAATAAACTTATGGAGGAAGAAGAACTTGTGTAGCTTTCCTGTCCAGAGACACACTAGAGGAGTTCGACATCATGTGGACAACTTCTATAAAGATGTTTTTAGAATTTGTCTCCCGCTGCTGTCATTTAGATCTCCTCTTCCTAACCAAACACCCAGCTAACCAGTACAACATCTTCACAGGCAGCACTAAAAACGTCTGCACATTGTTGGCAGCACATGTCAGCCACAGTAACGGTCAGACCACATGACTGTCACTGAGCACCGGGTTTGTTTTCACACAAACCGCAGGCGGAGGTCAAGATTTAAACGGACTTCAGTGGACACACTGTACTGCTTTGAAATCGGAGTCGTTTATGTTAAAGAGGCAACAGAAGACAGAACGATCGAGGTCAAGAGCAGAATGCAGACATGGATACGTCTGACGCTGCAGCTCTGGTCCCCTTTAACCAGAGTCTCAACTACAGTTTACAGACAGATATTCATAATTAAATCACTGAGTGACAATCTTCTGTCTATTTAATATGTTTCAGCTTGTTTTAACGCTCATTATAGCTTTGATTCTTCACCATAACATAATTTGATTAAAACCTCTTTATTCTTATAATCATGGGGCACCTGGTAGGGACACTAAACCTGTGGTTGCACAGCTCATTAAACATTTGATTTTGTGAAAACTAAAACAACCCCTTCAGCTACTGTTTCATCAGTATTTTGGCTGCGTTCTGCTCGGCCTCCAGCTCTATTCTTAACTCCGGTTCAGAGCTCGTCAAGAGTGTCCTCGAGGCTGCTGGACAGCCGTGACATAAAACATCCCGAGATCACGCCGTCCTCCTGCAGGAGCACATGCTCCATCAGTTCAGTCCCTCCACCTGCTCCGACTGCTCTCTCTCTTTACATAACAGCTAGACAAATCCCTCCGACGTAATCCTCCCGGAATGCTACCAATTCCTCTCATAGCTTAATAGGAGCTTAATTGCTGACGCATGACTTGTGCTGATGGAACCTTTCAGGGAATTTGCTCTTCGGCCGACCCGTTTCTTCACCCCCCCCGCCACACAAGAAGGTGCAACACCCTCTGCACTTTGATTAGTTCCACCGCCTGAGTGATAACATTATCGGATGCCCTGATAAAGTTATCGGTACGTGAAAGAAAATTGATGAAACACAATCATACGATAACATAAGAGGAATTTCCCAGTTCTTTCCACATTAGTTTTGTCACAAGAAGTTAAACTAATGATTCAGATCATCCCTGTTTGGGTTGTGATAGTGAAAGAGCACCAATGGTCCAGCTCAGCCATCTGTATGTTTGGTGGTTTTGGTGCAGCGTGCTGAACTCACCGTGGAGTGCTTCCAGTAGAGGATGATCTCAGGAATGTTCTCGGTCTTCTCCTCCATGGGGCAGTTGCTCCAGTTGCTACTGCTGATCGTTATCATTCCATTCTTATCCATGCTTTAAAAAAGAGAAACAAACTAAAGTGAGATATTGAGCTCCTCAACTCAACAACAGAGTCTGCGGCAGATTAAATGGCTGAATGAATTTACCTCTGAAGGGCTTTCTCCGCATGCTGCGGGGAAATATGCACGCCGAGGTCCTGAAGAGACTGCATGAACTCTTTAGGATCAACGTGGCCTTAAAAGGGAAACAGAGACAGGTTGTAAGAAAACAAAAGTCTCTCACACTGTAGGTGAAGTACCGAAATAGATGAAACATCAGGTCCTCGTACCTGCATTCCTCCTGTTGAGGCTTTTCACCACAAGCTTCAGGTCCTTCTCGTAGTCTTGCAGATAGTGAACAAACTCTTCAAAGGCCAGCTGTGCGTCAGAGTTGTTTTCTTCTCCTTTTAGGGTTTTCTGCAAGAAAAAAAAACACCGGAAATTAGACATGGTGCTTTAATATAACAACAGAGGGGACGGAGTAAGAGATGAATAATGAGGGTGGCTGAGGGACAAAGAATTACATTCTATTTATGCAAATGAGTGCAGTGATACATCTTTGACATAGTTTCAGAGCGAAACCACGGCAGCAGATTACATCTAGCAGAGGTATGCAGATGAGTTATCTGTGCTGATGGATAAATAACTTGTCAGTTTGTGAAACAGGTACATTACGGTCTGAAATGTGCTTCATGTCTGACGGACATTCCTGAATAAGTCTAGAGGTTTTAAAGGTGGACCGGCTTGTGTTTCACGGCTTCACCGGACAGCATTATGACCCACGTAATGAGCTGAAACACTCTTGGTGTTCTTGAATGACGTCCATTTCTCCAGAACATGGGAGGGGAGGAGGTAATTAGCAAGCAACACCCTGGTCTATCTTTGACCTCCACTGCAGGACGACCTGCCAACTGTTTTTAATCCAGTCTAAGCTCAAACCTCCCGAGCTCAAAACAAGACGAGGACACCAGCAGTCCAGCGCTGAAACCCGATCCAGCTGCACACAGAGCAGGCACATGACCGTCTCACTGCAATGATAGTCTGCAGGACATTCTGCTCTCCCCTTAAAGTGCAGAATTGTAACTTACGGCACCAGCCAAAGGGGAACGGCATTTAAATTTATTGCTATTCCTGCACAAAGTGACACGATAAGTCCTGGTTTGTGTGATTGTTGAAACGCCAGAGAGAGAGAAAGCCACAAGTGGCAGTCGACCTTGCTGGAGGCATAATACGCCAACTAAAGTAGTCACAACAAAACAATGAATGTTTACTTAATATTCCTGTATTGCCATCAGTTAGTGAACAAAAATGTGAAGCCCGACCCGGCTCAGTGAAAGAACTGAAACTCCTGACGGGTCAGCGATAGGATAGAGTCCAATTGTTTTGCAGATCGCGCATGAGTCACTAACAAGTGCAATATTTCAGCACAAAAATCAAGGTTCAGTTCACCGGTTCTCCTCATGTGAAAGTAAAAATAAATTAACTTTATAAATCCCAAGAGGTGAACAGTAAATGCTAAAGCAGAAGAAGAGGGCCTGTATATTTCAAAAGGTACCTGGTCATTTTTTTAAATATTTGATGCCTAAATCTTTGGTCTTTTAGTGCCTTTGCTCAGGTCTGATTATTTGCTTTTGTCTCGTGTTTGGCACATTGAGCCACAGGAGCCACTGTATGACAAGTGTTATATCAATAAAGGTTGATTGAAGTAACACAATAAATTAAAGAAGTGGTAGTCTAAAGCTATATAAACACATTACAATACTTAAAACAACAAATATAAAGAATAGTTTTGTAATGCATGAAAAGTTTTAGTCACCTCACAAATTTATATAATAAATTAAAAAAAAAAAATTGCATTTTATTCTATTTTACTTCTTTTTTTTATTTTTAAACAGAAATTGCTAGCTGTGAGATAAAGATTACATTTTAAGGAGACAGTTTCTCATGGCAGCAGATAATGACATCAGCTACTGTTAAATTCACTGGAATAGCATAGCGTAGCATAAATTCATTTTTAGGGTGGATTTTCCCAGAATGAATGAAAGACTGTAGCTCGCGCCCAGTTCAGCGAATTCAGTTAAAATTCATGGCAGTTACATCAGAAAGACTGGAATAAATTACCTCTTTATGAAACGTAAGGTTAATATTGCATAGTATAATAGAAAAATAGTAAAGTTAACAAAAAAAACAGAATAAAAAAATGTTCTCGTGGCGACTTTTTCTGGAAGCCGGTGAGCTTCAGCGGCCTAGTCGTAAAGGCTTTTCACAACTAGCCACATGCTAATCCTTCCGGCACCCAGAAAGAAAGGACAAAGTAATACGATTTAAAGAAGTATGCGACTAGTAATGGTAAACAGACAGTGTGTTAACATATTAAGTAATAACAAGTATTTCCCCCCTCACCTTTCGCCATCTTTGGTAGGCTGAGAACTCTTGAGACGGCAGGAACACGCTGAGTTTGTTAAAGAGAGACTTCAACTCAGACGGAAGTCCGTTAGACTCAAAGTATTCCACTTCAACCGGGTCTGCGTTGGACACGGGGACGTAAAGGCACAGGCCGAGCATGTTTAGCTAATTTAAACTTAAAAAGAAACAACAATAAATAAATAAATAGCACACACCGCGGCGGTGATGCTTCTTCCACGGGGGTAATACTGAAATGCCGGTACGGGGGAAAACGCCGGCTTCTAAAGAATTTCAAGAAGGTTCACGCCTCTTCCCGTAATAGCGCGGTCGCTTTACAACATTGGCTGTCATTGCCGGCAGCGTTGACGTCATTTTACTACTGACCAATCGCCGAGGCCGCCTATTGATGGTCTCGGCTGGGTCCCGCCCATACCAATCTATGGTCCCGCCTTCTTCTTTCGGAAGGAGCCGGAGAATGGTGAACCAATCCTGGCTCTCCTTTCATCCAGCGTGTGAAAGATTGACCAATCGCGTATCTTGTTTCATTCAAACTGGAGCAGAGGCGGTCACGAGTGCTGCTTGGCGGTTCAATTGCACAATTGCGTGATCTCCAAATATATATATATATATATATATATATATATATATATATATATGATATATACAGGTATATAATATATAAATATACCCAAATGAAAATATAAACAAATACAAACAATAGAATACTATGGAAACATAAAATTGAATAAATATAACATTGTTATAATATTATTATAACTTTATTCCATCCAGTCCAAGTGCATGATCTTCAATTACAGACCTAATAAAAATTGAAATATAAAAAATTAAATATAGTTTAAATATATATACACAAATAAAATATAAAAACATAAATAAAATAAGAAATAGAAACAAATTCTATCAACATATAAAATATAAAAATAAAACATTGTTATGATATTATCATAACTTTATTCCATTGTTACCCCCACAGCAGCTGAAATAATGATATTTATAATGATTCTGTCATAAAACAACCTACAAATAACACAAAACCAAGAATATGAAAAATAAAATAAACGTTTAAACTTATATTACTAAACTGAACACATTAAACTGCTTCAGTCACACAGGATGGAGCACATTGATTCACGTATCTATGTTTATAACAGGCTGTTGGCTGCACCTCTCTTGCTGTTTATTTAGGAGAACAGTTGGAACCAGTTCGGGTTCCTGGAGCAGGGATTGGAGTCACTATTGATCAGCCTCCACAAGACGAGACCACAGCGTGATCTAATGATGAAGAGCCTGCTTTAGTTTAGTTCATAAGTTCACTAAACAAAGTGAAATCAATTAAATTGTTCATCCACCATTTGACTCACAGCAAACCTAGACATTTGGTGATCCAGGAGCAAATAAAACTCTCAGATAAGATAAGACATTTTGAGGAAATCAACATTTATTTGTGGTCTTTGCATGAAAAAATATGTTTTCTACCTTGAATAGAGTCAGGAACAACACATATATGGTATTTATGCGCCAGTATTAACTATTTACATCAGTTTTATTGTTGTCCGTTCACATCAAAGTGTTTCGGTTTCATCGACTTACTTTTAATTATACTTCTTTCCATCTCCATGCACCTCGTGAGTGAAGTTGTGCCTCAAACTCTCTATGAAAGTTTATTTGCAGCCAGATATCAAACATTATAAACAACTAGATGACAACCAACATTAATCCTCTTTATGCTGGTTTAGTCTCACTTCACCACCTCCTGCACGTCATGTTTGACGGTATAACTCTTTCCTGAAACAGTCTATAGTTCAGCCCTGTTGCGTAATATTATTGAGCCCCTGCTGAGCAGACGCTGGATCGAAGCCGGTTCCTCTAAAATAAACTCAGGACGAGCAGCAAGAGCCAAAGAAGGTGCTGAAGGAACGCCAAGAGCTGAACCCTCGAGGCTGTCAGCTGATCCTGTCACACACACAGACACACACACAGACACACACACACACGCACACACACACACACACACACACACACACACACACACACACACACTCCTCTACATCAGACAGAGCAAAGTTCTGTGACTTCTTGTTATTGATAGAGATCAGCTGTTTTCTTTGAATATTTACATTTAAAGCTACTTTATACTTCTTAAACCACTTTTCAGAGGTTTTTAACTTCTTGAGTTACTTTTGACATAAAGAAACATCAGATATTCTTATGTGATATTAAATGTAGTAGCCATTCTACACAGATTATTTTGATACTACAAGGACATTTAGCTGATAATACTTCTGTAAGTAACTTAGTTTACTAGAATACTTCTAAAAACTTGTACTTAAGTGAAATACTTGAGTGAATGTATTGGATTCTTTTCTACTTCTGGTCTCTCCTGTGTTTATTTCTGCGTTGTTCAAAGCTGCAGACATGTTGACATTGATTTCATCAGCTTTGCAGACGCAGCAGTTGACGAACACAAAGGTTTGAAAGTCCAGCGCTCAGAATGACAACATGTTGCTGAAGCTGCTGTTGTTGAGTCGTGTGCGTCACCGAAGGTGAACCATCAACCTGCTGCCGTTGAGCAGCACTTTAACCTGCAGCACCAGACAAACAGTCTTTATGTTCAGGCGTCACACAGGTGAGAGGGGCTCATCAGAGACCTGTTGTGGTGCCTCTCAGGTGAAAACAGGTGCAGTCTCTCAGGTGTCTTCTGTGGTTGTTGTTGGGACGGGCAGTGAACAGGACGTCTCTGATCACCAATCACAGCAACCTCAGAGGCCTGTTGTTGTGAAACACAAAGGACACGACGGACACCATGTACACCATATATATATATATATATATATAGATAATACCATATATGTGTTGTTTTTAAGGACTTGTTTTGGACTGTAATACTTATTGGTACCAACCATAATGTGTCCATATCAGAGTATTAATAACAATACTCCCTAATATCTGGTCACATCTTCTGATTTGATCAGTTTATGATACTTGAGTACTTTTTATTTTTTAGTTTCTGAAGATATTAACGTAGTCATCAGTCATAGTCAGCTGTGATTTCAAAGAAAAATACAATAAAATAACAATAAAAATCCACCTTAATAAACTAAATACTTATCATGTTCATAATGTTCAAATTATTAAAATGTCCTTTAGTAGTTTTTCTCTGTACTTTTACCGTCTTATAATAAAACAGAATAGAATACATATTTGTTGTTATTGTGATTTGAACAATAAAAATCTGTTAAATAGCATTAAATAAATAAAGAAGCCTACTTAAAAAAGTAAATAAGTAAAAGAGAATAAAGACAAACAACATGAAAGAAATACATGAATATATATATATATACTGTATATAGCATAGTCTACTACTATATATATATTTGTACAACAAGGTGCTGCACTGTAGTAAATATAGAAGTTTATTATAAACAGATCTCGTCTTCCTTCCTTCAGTGATCTGCTGCTCTCTGCTGGAGGAACAACTCAACATTATACTCATTAAATACTTTATTTTCCATTCAACATAATATTTCGTCAACATATATTATTGTTACAAAGATGACTCCACAAAAAAATGTATTCTGTGGTGTCATAATGGATGAACCACATTAATCTATGAATAATATATTATTATTAATTTCACTAAAATTAAAACATTATTGTCAGTGTGTTATTGTTCTTGTTTATTTTTACTTTGATTCATTGGTGATTCAAAGCTTCATTAACAAAAATAACATTTAAATATTACTTATTTAATTTTATTTATTGAAAATCTGTAAGAATAAATCTTTCATTGAGCTGCCGTCAGTAACTGTTAAAATATGAATAAACTCAATTTAACCACAAATAAAAATCAATTGAATAAAAAGTTAAATATAATAAAGGTATAATGTACCAGGGATACAAAATAATGTAAAAAAAAAACAATTATTAAAGCTTAAAAAATAAGGCTGTAATATTACTCCAAAATAAAAGTCAGTTTAAAGAGACAGGTATTTTAATTTCCTGATGACACGTCGCTGACTAATTAATTGATCAACTAACTGGATAAATCAGCCCCGATCACCAAACAATAATAATCTAAAATAATCACATCAGTCTGACATTTAAATATTTTATATTCTGTAACAAAAGCTGTATCACGTTAAATATCAAGAGTTTTTCTTTTTTTTGTCCTGGGAAGTTAGAATGTACGAGGCGTCGCTGAAGGTAACATGAGGGAACTGTCAGATTGTCGCCACATGATGTCGCTGTTTCACCACTGAGGCTTCAGTTTGACTGGCAGTGAACGAGGCTCCACAGAGATGTGTCAAGTTAGCAAAGGTGAGCGAGTAAGAGACCGGAAGGTAAATCCAGCTACACACTTCTGATATACTGTCTATATATTGTGATTCATTTTTTAAAAATGTAATCGGCTTTAAATTGTTTAAATTAATCCAGCATTATAACTCTAGATGTACTGAATATTTCTGTTTAATTTGACTATTTTTGTTGGTGTTCCAGTATGTTACCGTTTAAAAAGTTTAAAAAGGCTTTTAAGTTTTCCAAAAGTGAAATTAAACCATTTTAGTGGCTAAGAAAGTATTAGTACTTAATAAGTAGAGTATCCAACAAGAGTGTAAATAATATTAGTTATTACAAAGTAAAGTTTGACTGATATCTTTTATTGACTTTTGTCATCTAAACTATGTATTACCAGATTATTTGTAACTATACATGCTCCATATGTTTACTGTCACTCTGGACAGTTAAAATAAATAAATTAGGCTAATCTTAATTTTAAATTTAAGACTTTTATTCACACATTTTTCCTTCTGAATTGTTATTATCTCCAGTAAAGAAACAGTCAGTATTATCTTCAACTGTATTTACTGATTGTTCAGTTTTTAAAATGTATTTGTAAAGTCATATTTAGGCTAATTTTCTTATTTTATTTATCACATTTGAATTTTTAAATAGATTTAGGAATTAACAAAGGTGTTTTGCTTTTATTCTGAAAAACGATAACCGGAAGTTACTCGATGTGTTGTGTCAGCTAGCTTGACGATAGTAGCGCAAAGTTCCTCCTCTCGGTTACCGAGAAGAAACGGACGAGAACCGTCTTGTTTCCCGTCGTTGTCCGTCGTGTAAAATCGTGTTTTATGCGCGTGGAGCCGCTGAACGATGGCGTTCTTCGTGAAAAAGAAGAAATTCAAGTTCCAGACTCAACTGACTCTGGAGGAGCTCACCGCGGTTCCTTTCGTCAACGGAGTTCTGTTCTGCAAGATGCGGCTGCTGGACGGAGACTTCGCGGCTACTTCTTCCAGGTAAAAAACAATAAAAACACATTGAATCACATGCAAACACGTTAAACATCACTTTATTCATGCAATGCATTTAAGTTGCATTCATATCGGTTAAAAATAGATTTTTCCTCTAAATAAGTCACTTTAATACACGTAAAAGGTGTTTAGTGAAAGTAATGACATTTCTTATACTTAGTTGTGTTTTTATAATATTCAGCATGATTTTTAAATTTATTTGTTAGGCCAAATACATTGGTTTTGTATTTGATGACTAAATGCTTTGTTATTTTAACATCACTTCATTTATGAAAAACTTATTTAAGAAGCCTTTAAAAAGTATTTTGGTTTAATTTGATATCATTTGGAAACTATTTGTCTCTGTCAAAGTCACTTACAGTGATCTTAAAGTGCATTCATGTAGCTATGTAGTGGATTTATTGACATGTTTTATACTTAAAAGAGTTTTCCAGCTCCTTCGATTATATTTTTTTATGGTTTGTTTTGTCTAGAATAGTGGTTTAGCAGTGGTTCGTAAAGGATTTCTCATATTTTAGGTGACAAACTGTTTTGCTGTTTGTTGTTCTCACACGAAAACATCCCCAAACATCACTTAATTTATGCAAAACCTATTCAAAGAGCATTTTGAAGGTATTTTTGTACAATTTAATATCATTTAGAAACTATTTGTCTCTGTCAAAGTCACTTACAGTGATCCTGAAGTGCATTCATGGAGCTACGTAGTGGATGTATTGACATGTTTTATACTTTAAATAGTTTTCTGACTCCTCTGGTGTTTCTATAATGTGTGGTATGGTTCATATTCCTGCTCGTGGTGTTTATTATGGTAGAAATCGTGATTCTGCAGGATACAAACAGGGTTTCTTGTGTTTTAGGTGGTTGGTTTGGTTTCTTTCTCCTTTAGTATCATAAAAGACTCAAATCTTTGCACTCTCATCTTCCACAGAATCTCAGTTATTGTTTGTTTGCGATTAAAGTGTTTCATCTTCACGTTACATCAGCTTGTTTTCTGCTGCTGGAGGAAGGAGTCCTTTAAACGCAGGGTGTTGTCATGTTAAGTGGCCTCTGTGGATACCAGAATAAACACAACTCAAAACCAGTTCACACTGGTCTACTGGTCTGGTGTACTGGTCTGGTGTACCGGTCTGGTGTACCGGTCTGGTGTACGGGTCTGGTCTACTGGCTCTAAACCTCAAGGAAAGAACGTTTTAGGCCTAAAGTCAGCATCTTTTTCTTCTTCTGGTGAAGCGACACCAGATGGTGAAGATTGCTTCTTGATGTTCTGTCTCTTCGTCTCAGGACTCGCGTCACAGAACTGCAGATTAAACTCTCCGGTGTTTGATTCACGGGATGATCGTTGGGCCTTCAAAGTCTCTTCAGACGTCTCCGTGTTTCTTCTTAAACATTAGTTTAAAGATGAAGTCGGGACTTGGTGATCGTCTGGAGACGAGTTGACCTTTCCTGACCTCGCTGTGACCCGAATACCTGCGACACCATTCCCCAAATGTTTGTGTCACTAGTTGATGTGTCGTTGTTTCAAAAGGGGAACTTCTTTTACTGCTATTCCCATCACAGGTGTGATGTTTAAACTGTGTCCCACGTCAGATGAATAAGTGAGCAAACATCACAGAGAACCGTTTCCTTTAAACTCTGGTTGTTTCTTCTTCTTCTGAAGCACAAAGACCCTCTGACCCACTAACACTGCAGCACAGGAACGCATGCACAACTTCTTTAAGAGTCTTTTGGTACATCTATGGAGCGATCTATTGACTTGAGTTTATAATATTCTTCATGCTGCTTAAACGTGTGCGTTTAGTTAAATGCAGTGATTCTTTCCCCGACTACACAGGATCTCTTCTGTTTTAGATGGTTGGTTTGGGCTCTCTGTTCTGACTAAACTAACCTGAACTTGTGGTGACGAGCCACAGAAGAGGACCGGCAGCTCTCGGTACACCTTTGTGTAAACCTTTAGAGACTGGCCTCTTTCCTTTCTGTTTGTCCGTCCACCGATTCGCTCCAGATGTAAATATTGCGACGGCTATCAGACGTGTTGCTCTGCAGAGTGTTGCAGATGTTCCACAGGAGATGAATCCCCTCTGAGCCGAGTCACAGCCCGGTTCACGCTGTGTTCAGCCTTCAGCTCCAGTCCTGATCTTTGGCCTCCTCTTCATGTCGGACTGGAAAAACACATTCCATGAAATGTTGGTATGGATGTCTTTCTTGTTACTGCTTACATGCAAAACAATAAATAAACATGTTCAACCACAGTTGAGTTTAACTGCACGGTGCCAAAGTCTCCCTTCAACATAATCACGCAGACTTTGTTCCAGTGAAACATGAACACGCTGTTCTTTGGCTCGAGCCTCCTCGTGATCACTGAGATTATTGTGTTCTTGGTTTGTTGATCGAACTGAGACTCGGAGAAATAACAACCTAGGAGCTCCTGTCCCTCCGCGTTGAGGTCACTCTCCTCTCTGGAGGTTACATAACCTCCACGTCTCCGCTCTGGTCTCCCTGGCTGAGAACAAGGCCCCCTCAGAGGACGAGGCGACGGCTCAGCGAGGACACAGATTAGCGTTATGTCACAGAACTGACAAACCCGGCCTTTGTGTGAGGGGGCCTGGTCTTGTTGTGGGTCGGGAACATTTGGGGGGATGGGGGGGGAAATTAATGGCGAGCTTATGCAGCGGGTCCGGTCCCTGTTGGCCTGGATCACATGCTGCGATGTTTGTCCTGACTGATATCTGTCAGCCGCTGCACACAAACACATTCACGTGTTTCCTCATCAGAATCAAACCACAAGATGTGGTCATTGCACGGTGGAGACGTGCTGTCAGGAGGTCAACTGAGGGCTAATGACGCCAGCAACAGTGGAAACTTTAGCAGAGAAGATATGAACCGAACTACGGGGAGAACATCTCAATGTTTGGCTTCTAAAGGAACAAACTTACACAAAATAATGTTTTTGATTCGTGATATTACGACTGATCTGAACAATAGAAGAGGCTGATCAATACGCGGCTGATAGATGATGTAACCTTTTCAATGAGCGGACGTGAGACCCTCTGTGTTTTAGTGACATAACATCAAACCAAACGGAGCGTTTGCGACAATCGGACACGGCAAACACAAAGAGGAGCCGGAGGCAAAAGAAGTGTTACGTTAAAACGGAATACTGGGACATAAACTTAATTATTTAATTTCATAATGTGTCGTAAACACATTTAGGACTGAATGTCACCGACTCTCCATCTCTGTGAGTATCGGCCTGATATCTGTATCTCAAAAAAAACAACACAAATTCTGAAAGTAAGTTTATCAAAAAGGTATCATTTGAGATCTGGTGTTTCATTTCGAGCAGCAGCATCGACGTCGGAAAGCACCCGAAATCCAGCCAAAAGCTTCACAAACCATCTGCTCTGCATCCGGATTCTGGCACAGAAAGACATGTTGCAGTGAGCTCAGGTTTCTATCGGCGTTCTTTCTGTTTAGTTTTGACATTTAAGGTTTACATCGTAGACATTATTGTCTTCTTCTTCCTGAATGAAGCCGGTGAGAGCACGCTGTGATGGAGGCAGAGAAGAAGAAGAAGAAGAAGAAGTTGAACGTGGAGCTTCTGATGTGGCAGCGAGGACAGATTGTGTTCATTTCCTGTTTAGATACTGATTCAACACACACATGCATGTCATGTTCAATAAAAGGCTTTAACCACACACACACACACACACACACAGATGCAAAGCATCATGGGGTATTACAGAGTCAAGTGAGGAGTTCATTTTCAGAAAGTTCTGGTGAAGTCCAGCGTTTGTTGCCAAAATCTGTTTTTATTTCATGAGATTTTTTAACCCCTCAGCCGATGGTTTTTAATGGAGAACACATTTGGAGCTGCTTCACTGCTTCTCTACACTGGTCCAGCACTGAAGGAGAAGGCTGCACACAGCAGACGCTAACTGGACTGTAATGTAATCAGGTCAACTCCTCTTCATCAATGCACGTCCACTAAATACTTGTTGTTGTCACTAACGGGCTCAGATTGATATTATATATTAATAGAAACAGACCGGATCAAGAGAAAGGGTCGAGAAACATGTTTAATTTCTCTGAAGGGTTCTTTCCATAAAGTTATTAAAAACACTCTGAGGCCGTCGGTGACGATAACGTTTAGCGGACGAACGCTGACGGTGAAGAGGCCGGCAGCCTTCTCCTTCAGTGCTGGAGCACATTCTACAACAGTCCCATTAGTCACTGAGACACGAGAACATGAGAAACAGTCACGCTTTAAGATCTGAACTCTCTTATTACACACAACTGCTTTTTATTTTAGTGCTTCAAATGTGCGTCTGCTGAAGAGTTCCGTGGAAACAAAGATAGAACGGGAGTTAACAAAAGTTAACTGTAATTCAATAACAACGGAGCAAACTCTGCCTTTGAAGACTCGTTCGACATTTCCTCTTTTGTTTCTGATGTTTTAAGTTCTTCAGAGTTCCAGAAATCCATTTTTCAAATGTCGTTTTTGTATTTTTGCATCTCTTTCAGCCCAAAGTCCGTATTAAGACGTGATCTTATACATCTACACACACACTTATGATTTCTCATCTATTTGATTTAAATCTGTTAAACTGGTGCCATCACTCAGTCTGTGAGTCAGTTAAACGTTTCCAGTGACTCCGTTTCTGCCTTTTCTTTAAATGTCGTTTACATTACTGACGGCAGCAGAAGCAAAACTACTAGAAGACGCGCCGGGTTATGAAACACTGGAATGTCCCTGAAACACTGACACTACTCCGGACTAATACTCAGAGACCATTTTTATTTGGTCTCATTTGTATTCTGACTCTGAACTCGTCCGGTAACGCTTCACGTTGTTGTTCACAGGCTCGTGTTTAGTGTTTCGGGGGAAAAGAAGCAGGAACTTTTGGGTGGAGTTGGCAGAACTTCTTGTTTGTGGGGCGCCTCCCAGAACCGGAGCGGTTTGATGGTCGTGAACGGCTTCGTTGGAG